GGTAGGACGAGCACGAGAGGGACGGCGAGACCAGACGTTAGTGGGAGGCGTCGGGTCAGGGGACAGAGGAGGAGACACAAGAGGGGAACGAGGGGGAAGACGCGCCAGAGACGAGTCCGGCGGTGGAAACACAGGGCCGTAGACAGGAAGAGGAGGAGGCGACGGGGGAGGAAGTACTTGGCACACCAAGTGTGACTCTGTGAGAGTGATGGTGCATGCTGCTCTATCCCTGGAGATCTGCAGGCCAAGGTTGCAATGCAGCTCTCCTAGGTCAGTGCAAGTGTGTCTCCTCAACAGCTCGACCTTCACAGAGGCCAGTGCGTCTCTGTCTACAGTAGTGAAGACCAGGTCGTCTACATAGACAAGGATGTAGAACCGAGTCTGGCCAGCACGAATGAAGAGCGGGGGGTCAGTAGAGGACATGTGTTTCCGCCGCCTTCTCGGCCTTTCCTCCCATGGGACACTCTCCAGCACCTGTTCCACCCCTAGGCCCACAGGGACAAGCCAAAACAGGAACCCCAGGACTAGCACCCTCCTCAACGCCAGCACCCCCAAGGTCCACGAACGGCTGCTGCTGCTGCGGCAACTGCTGTGACATCGGAGGAGGAGACACCGGGGGGGAGGTCGGTGGCAAGAACGGAGCCGCAGGGCCACCAGAGTCAGCCGACTCCTCGACCGGGACAAGCGACGGGAGGGGAGTGGCGTGGGACACACCAGATGGAGAAGGACGAGGAGAGAGGGGAGCAGGGGCTAGCAGGGGGGTGGAAACAAGAAAAAAGGGCAGGGAAACCGGGAGACCTCGGTGGGGAAAGCGGTGATAAAAGGAGACAGACTCGTCGAAAGTGGAATCACGGGAGTGAAGGAAGCGGTAAGACGGCAGATGGTAGAAGTGCCAGTCCGACGAGTCAAGGGGGAAACCGAGGAAGACACATGGGAGAGTGCGGGCAGTGAGCTTGTCCATGCCAAAGGCACAAACGTGAGTAATGCAGCCCCAGACGTGGAACGCGGACGCGTCACCAGGGAACCCAGTCCAAAGAAGGGTCGGCGAAATCTGCGGCCGCTAGGAGTGCGGCCACAGGTTAAGCTGGTGAGCGGCGTAGCGAATGGCAAACGGCCACACAAAATGGGGTGCACCGCATGAATCATGGAGGTACGAGCCACCTCCATGACCAGGCCGATGCATCGCTCAGCGACCCCATTCTGCTGCGGGGAGTCCGGTAAAGTGTACGACTGGGTGATGCCCTCCGCACGACAGAACTGACCAAGCCGACCAGAGGCGAACTCGCCGCCACAATCGGAGTGGAGACAAAGCACAAGGAGACTACGGTGGAGGCACACAGCTACGACCCACGGGATAAGAATGTCAGGCACGTCGGCCTTCCGCTCCAGGGGAAACACTGTGGTGTAGTGCGTGAAGTCGTCGATGAGCACTAGAAAGTAGCACTCGCGAAGCGTTCCAGGGATGGGGGCTGGGCCCCAAACCTCCAGGTGCAGGGTCTGGAGAGGTGCAATGGCATGGCACAGTGGGGAGGAGTGAGGAGCATGGCGCAGCCGGCCCTCGATGCAGAGCGTGCACAGCGGCGCAGGCGAGGGAGGGAGGGCAGTGTTAGTATTAAGGACGGAGTCTAGGTGAACTTAGGAGCTAGAATTACTCAAAATATAAATCCGAAACTGCAAGCTTGGTCAAACTGCAAGCACTTGAATGTGCAATCATTAGTGATGCAGGAAGACCGAGGACTAGACCGTGCTGAGACATGTGACATAGACGCGGGAGTGCGGGGTCACCTAGGCGGAGGTGCCACAGAAGCGACGGGTGAGTGAGCGACCGACACGAGCAGGCCGCAGCGACTTGGGTAGAAGCAGGACCTGGGGAGGACGCCCCAACTGGGGCGGAAGGAGTGTCCATTGTAAACAAGCCAGACACCGAGTCTCAGGGGAACGTCGCAAGGGGGGAACCTGAGGCGGCCTCGGTACCGCTCGTGATCACGGAACATAGTGGTGACGCCGAGGTCCCGAAGACAACCGACACCAACTAAGTTCCTGGAGAACGAGGGGATGTGCAGGCCTATAAGGGAACCCGAGGGGGCCGTTGGACAGGGAAGGGTAGTGGAGGTGCGAGCAATGACAGGACCAGAAGAGGGGTCAATAAGGGCGACAAAGGCAGGGGCAGCGAGCGGCGTGAGAGTGGCGTGGTTGCGAAAGAAGCAGGCAGATGCACCCGAGTCGAGCATGAAGGACAGCGAGGTAGTAGTCGCCGACGAAGGAGGAGCAAGGGTAGAGCCTAGGCTAGACAAAGCAAACGGTCCTACACCTGACGCAGCAGGGGAGTCTGTACTACACATACGTGCTACGCCAGAGCTAGAGATCACAGGGTAATAAGATCCTGACACACTAGAAGCGTTAGCATACAGAAAATGCAGGGCAGAACCAATCTGATCCATGTTTAAGTCAAAGACTGGCACACCGTAACGGAGCAGACTGGGCCAGTCGGGGAGGTCTGGGGCCGGGCCGAAGCGGCGACGGAAGAGGTCGTCGAGGCGGCAGAAGCAGCGGGCGGTCGGGTGCGGGCGGCGGCACACAGTGCCACGAAGGGGCCCAGTCTGGAGCTGGTACTGGCAGCCCACAGCACCGAAGCCGCCGGTAGACGCCGAGCTGCAAGGGCCGCCATCGTGGCCACCACCTCCTGGGGCTCCTGGCCACCCCGGTGGGAGGCGGGGCCACAAATGCTGTTGCTGGTACTGCTGCTGCGGCTGCTACTGCGGTTGCTGCTACTGCTTCTGCTGCAGCTGCTGCTGCAGCTGCGTCTTCTGCTGCTCCTGGACACCAACCCCAACTCCACCGTCCGAACCACTGTCCCCGCCACCACCACGACCACCACCAGCGCCGACAAGCCAGGCGGCGAAGTCGATAGCGTGCCCCTCTGCGCCCAAGCGGAGCATGGCATCCGCCATAATGCAATCTCAGCAGAACCGGGACACAGCGGCACAGGGACACAGCGGCATAGGGACACGGGTACTCAGTTGCACGGTGGTGCAGCGGCGTGGCGGCAGGACTCTCCGGAACGGAGACCGGGCGGAAGGCCGAGAGGGGCGCACGAGGGCCGGTGGGCGAGTGAGGAGCCAGCGGATGCTAAATGGGCCGAGACGCACGAGGGGCCGGCCAGGCGCGCAAAAGGCCGGGCAGGTGTGGGAGGGGCTGGTGCGGAGAGAGGCGTCGGCAAGGCGCGTGGGGCCGGCGGTGCGCAGGAGGGGCTGACTAGGCGGGAGGGGCCGGCTAGGTGAGAGGGGTTGGCAAGGCTAGTGGGGCCGGCAAAGTGCAAGGGGCCGGCTAGGCGCGAGGGGCCGGCTACGGCGTGAGGGGCCGGCTAGGCGAGAGGGCCCGGCTAGGCGCGAGGGGCCGGCTACGGCGCGAGAGGGGGCTGGTTGGGCGCGAGTGGGGCCGGCTACGGTGCGAGGGGCCGGCTACGGTGCGAGGGGCCGGCTAGGCACGAGGGGCCGGCTACGGCACGAGGGGCCGGCGGCGGCGTGAGAGGGGGCCGGCTGGGCGCGAAGGGCCGGCTGGGCGCGAGGGGCCGACTAGGCGCGGGAGGGGCCGGCTACGGCGCGAGGGGTTGGCTAGGCACGAGGGGCCGGCTATGGTGCGAGGGGCCGGCTACGGCGCGAGGGGCTGGCTACGGCGCGAGAGGGGCTGGCTGGGCGCGAAGGGCCGGCTGGGCGCGAGGGGCCGACTAGGCGTGGGAGGGGCCGGCTAGGCGCACGAGGGGCCGACTAGGCGAGAAGGGCCAGCTAGGCGAGAGGGGCCGGCTGGGCGCGAGAGGGGCCGGCTAGGCACGAGGGGCTGGCTAGGCACGAGGGGCTGGCTAGGCACTCGAGGGGCTGACTAGGCGAGATAGGGGTTGGCGGACGCGTGAGGGGCCGGCGAGGCGCGGTAGGCTAGGGCACGGGGCGGAAGTGGGTGGGTGGACCTAACCTACTCCTGATACCATGTTAGAATACTAGAATGATTAGCAAGAATAGAGAACAGATGAAATATAGGGTTTGTGTTGTACTCTTGACGAACACACACCTATTCTAGCCTATAACTTCTACATGCAAATGTATGTATAAGTTGACAACGAATCCTAACTTGTTTGATATCGGTGCTCGAAAACAGCAGGCTCAAGGACCGATATCAGGGAGCCTACTCCTGGTATCTGATAAGTAGGAATACGCCCTAAGATTTATGCGGTGCTACACCAAGCTTTCTATCTCAAAGGACTTCGTCTCTGCCAAGGCTGCACTCAATAGAAATGTTATTTTATACACACCTTTTAAAGCCCCAGACTAAAATAGCATACCCCATTCAAGTTGGACCCAGCTTGAAGAAGAAAATGGGCTTGGTTTGAAGAAGAGTTGAGGTTTTTTTTGGAGGGGCAACGGGCTATGTTCGAAATAGATTCGGAAGAAGTTTGTGCATCGAAACTATCGAATTCGGGGCGGAACTACTGTTCACTTCCTCCTCTGACGACGATCTTGCTTGTCGTACGGCTGGTGAGGTGTCGCACTGATTCTGATTCCCCCATGACACCCGAAAAGCAAACCTGGTCCCAACTTGAAAAACGAGCTAGGTTGTAGGGGAAGAAATCGCACATGCGATTTCTTCTGACACACGAGTCGCTCAAGTCGCGAGCGCGTCAGAGAGGACGCACCATACATTTCGCCAGGCTGTTTGTTGCGTCAGCCAATCATGATCTAGCTGTTCTTTTCACCCTCCTCTCCATCCGAAATTCGCAACAGTAAATGTAGTCGGTCATCCTATTCTTCGGGCGTGTCATAAGCGTTCGTTTATCCCCCGAAACCCTACCTAACCACTTGATATTTTTAGCTAACCTCTTTCAAATAATTGTGCACCTTACTCAATCGTAATAAAGTGGACGCTTATGATACGCCCTTCGACGGAAATGTTCAAAATGGGCCTACGTTTGCTATTATGGCCAGGGGTTTTAATGAGTGTAGGATGATATATTTTGTTGAAGGTGTTCCCTATGGGCGCAAAATTGCTTTTATCTTGGTGACTACAATATAGTCTTTCAGGCATCGAAGGTAAATAATAATTATGCTTCTTAATACTGCATGCAATGATCCGGAACGAAGCCTCCAGTATCCCCACCGCCCTCACAGCTGCAGCTTGTCCCGCCAGAACTTGAGTTGCTCGTCCACACAGGCCGCCCCTGTGGAGCCAAACGACCGGAACTTGCTGATGGAATTCTCCACACCCAGGAAGGAGTACACGTCGTCCTCGAAGATGGGGTTCAGCGCGCGCAGCTCACTCAACGACAACGCGCTCAGCTCCACACCGCGCGCCACCGCGATGGCCACGGCGCGCCCCACCACATCGTGCGACGTGCGGAACGGCATGCCCTATGGGCCAGTGGAGACACCACACCGATGGGGGAGGAGGGGAAGAGAGTGGAAGGATAGAGTTGAGGAAGGGAACAGGGCAGTGACGGTTGAGGAGTGGGAGTAGGATGGGTTGACGAGGGCGGGTGTTGGTTCATTGAACAGCACTTACAAGGTATGTCACTCCACTGGGACAGGGGCCGAGGGGAGCAATAAGGAGTCAAAACGAGCCAAGAGGAGCCAAGAGCCAAGAGCAGCAAAGAGCCAAGAGGAGCAAAGAGCCAAGAGGAGCAAAGAGCCAAGAGGAGCAAAGAGCCAAGAGAAGCAAAGAGCCAAGAGGAGCCAAAGAGCCAAGAGGAACAAGAGGAGGCCTGATGAGTGTCCGGACACACCCACATGCAGCATGACCAGCACCCCAGCACCCACCTTGTACACGCCATGCACTCACCCAACCCGCTCGCCTTGCATGCATGGTGCTCTCACGCCCACGGCTCACCTTGTACACAGGTAGTTGGCCGTCACGAGGTAGTTAGCAGCGGCTCACCTTGTACACGAGGTAGTGGCAGCGGCTCACCTTGTACACGAGGTAGTTGGCAGCGGCTCACCTTGTACACGAGGTAGTTGGCAGCGGCTCACCTTGTACACGAGGTAGTCGGCCAGCGTGGTGGCATCGAGGTGACGCGGGCAGCGCTGCGCCTTGGCGGTGAGGAGACGTGAGTGGCATCGGCGGTGACCTCCAGATGGCCAGCCGTGTCCCGCTGTCAAGCGGCTCCTTGTCCTCCTGCAGGTCGCGGTTGTGCCCGGCAGCCCCTTGACAACCCAGCAGCGTGGT